AACCATTCCAGCACATCCTATCACTGGGTACCAGGGAGAAGAGCATCTCCCTCTCTGCTTCCTGTCCTCAGGAACCTATAGAGAGCAATGAGGTCACCCCTCAGCCTCTTTTGCTTGAAACAACACAAACTCAGTGTCCTCAGCCACCCCTCAAAGCACAGGCATTCCACCCCTTTCTCCAGCTTTGTTGTTCTTCTCTGGATGCATTCAGGGACCTTCCCTTACTTTTTAAGTTGTGGGGCCCAGTACCACACACACCACTCAGGGTGAGGCTGTACCAACGCTGAGTACAGGTCACCTCTTCTGCCCAGCTGGTCATGCTGTGTTTGATGCATCCCAGGATGGGGTTTTCCTTCTGGGCTGCCAGGGCTCACTGCTGACTCACACTGAGCTGCTGTTGGCCAGCACCCTCAGATCCTTCCTGCTCTCCAGCCGCTCCTCTCCCCATTTATACTCGTGCCCAGTGTTACCCCATTCTAGGCACAGAATCTGGCTATGGACTTGTTACATTTCATCCCATTAATCATAGCCCAATGCTCCAATCTATCTAGATCCCTCTGCAAGGCCTCCTGTCCCTCAAGAGACTCAACAGCATCCCCCCATTTGGTATCATCAGCAAACCTTCTAATGGGGCATTCACTCCTGTAGCCAGATTGTTGATAAACAATCCGGTTGACCGGAACCGGCCCGAGGATTGAGCCCTGAGGAACACCGCTGGTGACTGGGCACCAGACAGATCTAGTGCAATTCACCACAACCCTTTGAGCTCTGCCCCTCAGCCAGTACTTCACCCAGCACACCATGAACCTGCTCTGGAAAACTTGTCCAGAAGGATGCTGTGAGGAAAGTATCAAAAGCCTTACTGAAAGAAACAAAACCTACATCTACCACCTTCTCTTGGTCCTGGAGCAGGTGACCTTATTGCAGAAGGATATCAAATTATATGAACCTGTGTTTACTGAGGCTGATGAGTGCATTGTTCATTAAATGCCTTTCAATTGTACTCAGCATGATCCTGTCCAAAATCTTTCCAGGAACTGAGGTTAGACTAACAGGTGTGTAGTTCTCTGGGTCTTCCGTTATGCCCTTTTTGTATATTGGAATAACACTGGCTAGCTTCCAGTCATCAGGATCCTCCCCAGATGCCCAAGACCTTTGGCAGATGATTGAAAGGGGTCCTGCCATAACATCTGCTGGCTCCTCCAGCACTCTGGGATGAATCCCACCAGGCCTCATGGATTTGTGACCATTCAGCTCATACAGCTGGTCAGGGGAAAGCATAAAATTGAATCCATGAGAAGCCATACAAATTTTTAAAAAATGGCACTTAATACTCACCTACACTGAAAAGACAATGTTTGCAGACCTTCTCCTTACAAACTTCTTTTTAATAACTACTAACTCTCCCATCCTTACTCTGCTTTGCTTGTTCTTATTGCTGCATGGTGTTAAATTAACTTTTCCTTTCAGCCTAAATTGCAAAACACAGTTTGGATGACTGGTCGAATGAGAGCTGAGGATCTCCCCAGAGAAAAGGTGACACAAAAATATAACAGCACTGTCATTTGAAAAAAAAATTCATAATTTTTACAGTAACTCATGAAATTCTGTGTATTCCTCCCACGGTTATTTTAGCAAGTATGTGTGTTATCCCAGACAAACCAGAAGAGGAACTTTCCAAAGGGTGTATGTTTCAGCATCTCACAAAAAAGTGTAATCACTCATAATTCAAGTATAGTTTTCCAAGTGACACTGATTTAAAACTGCTTTGTTTAAAGCAGAGAGGGAAAATGAGGAATTTTTCCAAGACATTTGCTAAAACCAACTCTCAGGGCAGATTTTCACAGACATTTACATGCCTAAAGACACCTACTGGCATTTTCCACAATTAGGTGTCGGGAGTGCTATTAAAACCCAGACAACTATTTGCATTGTTGGGCAATTAAATGCCTCCAAACTCCAGCCCTCCATCCTGCAGCATGTTACCTTGGAGAAATTCCATCACCCAGACACTTGCATATAAAAATGTGCCATAACAGCTACGAACAATGCCATAAACCTCACTGATGCAGTAGTTACATTTGGTGCCAACCTACTGAGTAGGTCTATCAGAAAGAAAGAGGTACATACATGGCACACTAATGCTTATGCCCAAACACTGCTCTTGCTGACAGCTTGTTGTCATGTCACCAAGAGCAATTCTGCCATGTTAGTGTACTTCAAGAACATCTTACAGAAGTATCAGCTACATCACATTGTTTTGTTCTTCTGGTAATTAATTCCTGGTAAGAGCGGGAGGAGATCTGACTCTGATAGAATGCTAAATCAAAAACAAGCAAATCCGTCTTTTTATCATTAGAGTTACAAGTCTCATGTATCTCAAAATTCTGGGAGATATTTTGGGGTTTTTGCAAAGAGCTCTGAATCTGGAACCATCCTATAGTAGTCACAAACTATATTTTAGATCACTTGTGCACAAGTTGTATGCAAGGTGTGTGCATAAACCCCTAACTATTTGGACATTAACAGCAGTACTAGAGTTAACCCATGGAAGCTACACGGTGAGCACAGGTCTGCTCATAGGATTATGGTTTGATTTCCATTGTCCTCAGTTTGCTAATGGAAGTTGAAGTCAGGTGATTTTACATATTTAGGAAAAAGGTATTCTATTTCTGTGACCTCCTGTTGTTCAAATGAGAAAGCTCTAATTTCTCCAACAGAAATGCAAACCCTGTAACTTGACAGGGAGGCACTACCAAAAGAACTAACCAGTTTTTGATAGCTGCAACACTATGGTTTCTCCTTCTGCTTCAGCCTCCTACATACAAAAAAAAAAAAAAAAAAAAAAAAAAAAAAAAAAAAAAAAAAAAAAAAAAAAAAAAAGAAACAGAAGCCTAAAAAGTAAAATACTTCATTTGTGGAAAGCCTCATAGGATAATTGAGTTGACATTAACAAAGGCTATTAGTGCAAATTTATATACAACCATCTAGCTATTCCTAGTTGAAGTTACTATGACATACACAAACACATGTACACAGAGAACCATGTGCATGCACAGATTCAAAGCCTCTTTTCAACCCGTAAAGCGTTTTTTTTCAAATTGTGATTCCTCTGTGAGGCCAGCAGCAACTTGATGACCTTTACTATTGTGTCAAATCCTTACCCGTGCTGCAAGTCCCAGATTCAGTGCAAGCAGTTTTGATCAACATACAGAAAGACAGCCTTTGCAGAGACCCTAGGTAATATATTTTCCTGGTAAACAGATTTTTACAACAGAAATATTGTAGTTTCGTTATATATTGTCATGGAAAACACTGCATTTCAATGCATCAGGGAAGGTATGCGCATTTTAAATATTAAATATAAATAGGCACATAGCAAGAGATTTAACTTTGCAAGTCCTCCAGTGGAGGATCCTTGACTGAAGAACAGTCCAGTTTAAATAAACCTGACCCCAGGAAGCCCAGGCCATTCAAGCTATACTGAGCATGTGTTTACAAAGCAGATCACCCCCATTCACTTGTCAAATAAGAAAAATCTTTTAAACTTAGAATCTCATAAGAAATGCTTCTTTTCCTTTCCCTTCAGAAATAAGCAAGGTGGATTAACAGAAATATACATCTGAGCACAGGACAGATGAGAATGGAAATTGTCAACTCTCAAACACATATTTTTTATTTGAGAGATTTCTGAGATTTTACATTAGTATTGAGGCTACAGTCAAATAAATTTATAGGTTAAATTCTGCCTCAAAAACAAACACCCATCTCTTATCCTAAGTCATTAAGTGAAACCCTCACTGGCACAAAACTTCCAGTCACCAGTATAAATTATGACGTATATCTAAAAATTTGGCTGTGATATTGGATCTTAAGAAGACACAGTCAAAAAATCATAATACCCAGGATATCATTCCTGGTAATGTCTGGAAGCCAAAGCTGATATGTTATCAGAAAAAAAAATTGTTTTCTTCATAAGTACACTTACTTGTTAGTCTAGTGTCACTGCCATAACATTTTATATAACATTTTATTTAAATAACATTTTATTTAAATAACATTTTATTTAAATAACATTTTATATCAGGACAAATAAAAATAACAGAAGAATTACATAGGCAATGCAACATGGGAAACCAGGTTTTGAATCATACAGTCTAACTGTACAAAAGCAGGATCCCACAGACTCGTGGTTAAACCTATTTTACAAGATAACATCCTGTTGTGCCTCAATTCTGTAGCATCTCTGGAAACATCATCCTCTTACATAGAACTGGTTTTATGTTTTTAGGGACAGCAGAGAATTATTCAATGAAATTTTTAGATGTAATGTGGATGCTCTGCTTTTGATGCTGGTTGACATTCGGGATAGGGGTTGTGATATAAAGGACTCAATTTTCAAAAGTGAATGTTTCTTTTTAATACCCTGATTTTAAAATATTCTATCTGAGAAGCCTGAGGCATGATTTTCAAAGGGATACATATGTTCCACTCCAGAAAAATTGCTAAGTATTACAGGTACTCAGCAGCTATGAAATCAAACTTATGGTTTGATCTAGGGTTTTCAAGAACAGAAGCACCCAAAATGGCCCTTCACATTACTGTGGCTTATAGATATAATTAAATAACTCGTTTGTGTGCTCTTTTCTGTATGCATACACATATGCATCCCTGACACTACAGCTTTTAAATCTGAGCAACTTTAGTCAAAGCCGCAGGATTATTGATGAGGTATAAAGCTGAATTATCCATAGGTAAAGTTAAGCATGTCCATAAATAAGCATATAAATTGGACAAAATTGTGCCTGCAAAAAAGTAGGCACTGGATTTTCTTGCTTTTGTAAGAGTCCATTAATATATTAATAGAGGTTTTACATGTTTTATACACTCAGATATATACATATATTTTATCAGTAATGTGTGTTTACATACATACATGTGCACATATGCAAACACATGTGCACACTTACCACACACACACTCACATTCTCTTATCTACACACATTCAATTTCTTTATTTTTAAAGAAAATGCCACCATTTAATAAACACTGAAATTGGTTCCAGGTTCTCCATGATTTTAGAATTATAGAAAAAGGTAACTTATATCTGTCATTGCATATGAAAAAAAAAAAAATCTGGACTTTACAACCAAATTAAAATAAAAAGAAAGACCAAACACACTCCTCATGCTACCAGCTTTCCAATTAGGAATCAAGATATTGGAATGAATCTGGTATAAATGCAAGAAGCAATGGCAGCATTTTGTGTGACTATTTTTTACAATTAGTGTGAATCTTTTGGAAGATGAATTAGTATCAATTTGTGATGAGCAAAAGGTTCTTTCCTAGACAGGTCACTGCTGAGCCCCTTTCTTCTTCTGCTCCAGCTCCTGCAAACGTTCCTCCCGGCACTGGGCGTGCTGTGTCCCCACTTTGTGGGCTGTCTCGGTGGCTGCAATGTCAATCTGTGCATATCGGGATGATCCACTCCCTGAAACATCAAATGAAACCCTGTAAAAGACTCTGCCCCTCATATATTCCTGGGTAAAACTGGCACAGGGTTAAGTACTGAGACACTTCTTCCACTGATTTCCTGAATGATCTTGGCCTGGTCTTAAAGCAAGCTATGTAAAGCGAGTAAGATTATAACCATAGCTAAACAAGGCTTTTTGAGGTGCTTTGTATATCTACATATTTCAGCTATCAGGTTTTCTTCAAATAAGCACAAATGAAACCACTCACATTTCTGCCCCAGGTTCAAATCTCCATTCCTACTACTCCTAATAAATGACAAAATTGAACTCAGCATTCCCACTTCTATGAGGCTTCATCACCAAGCTACTAGTCAGTAAATGAACAACATCTGGTATTTGAACAGAAAACATTTGTGGCAGTTGGCAGAGTTCTTTGGATGGATTAGGCATCCTGTGAACATTTACCAGAGCAACCACCTTCAGCCTCAACCAGAATGACACTTTAGTTCATTTTTTGGCAATGTGGGGGGGAGATAAAAGCTGCTCAGTCTTCTCAAGAGTAAAATAGTTCTGTATAGGTGCAGACATACAGGCTGCAGGCTGGGAAAACTTTAATATGAAAAAAATAAAGTATTTATGGTCATTAAAGGCACCTTCAAAGTTGCACCATTTGAGCTTGAGAGGGTGGCTGACATTTAGGAAAGTTTATGGAATTTGACTCTTCATTCTTAATGCCTTGGTTCATTGTCTTTAAAATGAAGATAAAATATTTCAACAGGAGAACTACTTTTAAGTCTGAGAGAAGCTTAGAATTACTTAACTAAAACCATATAAACGTTTAAAAAAAAAACCAATGGGAAAAATCCTAGCATTTCAAAGTTTATAAAATTACTGAATTTAAAAGTATAAAAGCTAAAATCTTAATAGCTGGAAACTATAGATGGAAAAACCATCAATACCAAATGTGAGCAATTAAATGTCAGATTCTGATTAGATGCTTTCTGTAACAAGGACTGCATCTCTGAATGTCAATATACGGTAGATATACTGCATGCTTATGTACTAATTGTTCAAGTTAAGCATTAAAAGTAAAATACCCAATCCAAAGTATTTTTAAAAAAATCAGATAATTGGGCTAGCTTTCTCTTTGTAGCACTTTCAAACATCCTCATGGACAGCAGATAGAAGAGTACTGTGTTCTGTTCTTAATCATTTGCTGCATGGCTCCAGAGTCAGTGTCTTCAGGAGCAAGCCCTGTACAGCTACACCCACAGTCCCATTTCTAAAGCCAAGCAAGAAAACTTAAGTAAGTTTAGTCCTAATACGTGGGATGAAAACCTTGAGAACACAAGCAAATTACTGTCTTTCAAACTCCACAGACATAGAAATGTTCACTTGAGAAGGAGCACATATACAATGCACCTGTCAAAGGGATGCAACATCTTATAGAACACCATTACTCAAAAATCTTTCCCAAAAAAAGATGCCAACTAAAAGAACTGCCTCACAAACATACCAGAGTTCAACTACCGGTTAGCAAAAGCCTGTGGGTAGATTATTGAGTCATTAGGTTGAAAAAGACCTCCAGTGCCTGACTACTCTTTCAGTGCAGAAATTCTTCCTGATGTCCAACCTGAACCTCCCCTAGCAAAAGTTGGCACTGTGTCCTCTTATCCTGTTGCTGGTTGCCTGGAAGAAGATACCAGCCCCCACCTGGCCACAATCTCTTTTCAGGTATAGTGAGTGATGAGGTCTCCCCTGAGCCTCTTCTCCAGGCTAAACAGCCCCAGCTCCCTCAGCTTCTCCTTATATGAAATTAGGATTCCCCATGCCCCATATGTTCTGCATTACTGTATCCCTTGCTGTTTAAATAATATTGTAGACTTCCTTACCTCTTATGCTTGTGCTAGGTTCTTGAAGTTCCAGTTCCATGTAATGAAGCTGTTTTTTGGAAGTAGGGCTGACAGGAATATTAACATAGGTAGCTGTCTCACTGTGGGGTCGATCTGATGTAGGGACATCAGCTGAATAACCTACTGCCCCTTCTAAAATAAATAACATGTTATAACAGATCTATTTGCAATGACTAATTATCTATTTCATACAAAAACACACTGAAAGAAAACACTGAGCAGCAATAACTCTGCTTGCCAAACAGTACATTCCTCAGTGGTAGATGGGGCATGAGAAGACTACAGTTTATTCCTAAAAGATCCTGAGACACACTGATCAAGTCAGGATCTACGCAGAAGACCACAGACCAGGATCTTGCTGTGTTTTGGAAGAAAATAAACACTATGCAGACATTTCCCAGTAACAGCAACATGTGCAGCACTATCTCGTAAGGTTTCCAGCTCCAGCTTAGGTGAGTGAAGCTTTATATGAAGTGATCTGTTCTAGGAAGATGCGAACTACTGCATCATCTGCAAGACAGCAACCAAAATCACTAGAGGTTCAGAAAGCATATCCCAAAAAAGGGACTGAAGAACTATTTCAAGTAAAGGGAAAGCAAGCTTGAGGGGACAATGTTGGGTGCTTTCCTGTACTGAATTGAAAAAGATAGGAATTATGTCAAGTAGGGACAGACCACGTAATATAAGACTTTCATTGCAGGAAAACACATAAGAACACTAGAGCAAATTCCACAGTTTTCTAGAAATTTCTAAAAAAGACACAGATTAACACCTACCAGGAAATAGCTCCTATAAAGTGATTTTGACTTAGAGACAACTTTTTTTGTTTATTGGATTAATTCTAAAGACCTCTTCAAGCCCTACTTTCATTTATTCTAATCTTGTCTGCCAGTCCAGTCCAGTTGGAGTCCTTACCCTTAAATGCTTTCTGCTCTTAAGCCAGCTGAAGACAAAGAAGTGCAGAGGAAAAATAGTATCGCTTTCAGGTTCTCCCTTTCCATGAAGTTCTCCCATTAAGCCCTTCCTTGTCCCCACATAAAACTCATCTCAAAACTTTGTTTGTCCAAACTGCTGCTTTTCTCTTTTGCTGTTTAGACACTACTGAGATGTGAGTGGAAAAGCAGTAGAATATCAAGGCATTTTAGAGCATAGGGAAGAATGACTTCTTATATCCAAACAACAACAGCCATGAATAATCATTGAGAGAAACTTTTTCATCTCCTTGGAAGTATTAAGAATAGCAGAGATAGTTCATACAAAGTTAGGCAACAGTAAGGGCATGTTCCAGCATAATGGAATCTCCCCAGGCTTAAGCTGTCTAAATCAAAGGAGTCTACTATGCAGTCCAAAAATTTAAAAGCCTGCAAAGTTGGCCAATTTTCCCACAGATTTTCATAAAGAAAACTTAGGAACATCCACAAAGTATACAAATAGTTTTCTGACAGCCAGACTTCAAGCAGTTGTTCCAAAGCCAGATGTTAGGGAAAAAATGGCAAAATCAATGCAGAATCAAACAGAAGAAATTTTTGTATCTTCATTAAACATCATTCGCAGAAATTATTCTGTCTAAAATATTTCAAAGGAATTTAGCCTGGCTGTGCCAAAAGGAATTCAGCAGAATCATACCACTGAGAACCTGCATCGCAAATAGTTAGAAGTTGTAAGCAAATGACAATCTTAAGGGCTAATACAGAGCCATGAACAGCCATGAAGGAAAAGTTAATTTTTGGAGTCTTTCTGTACGCTGTTAAAGTGATGTAGCAGGAGCTTAAGTGAAGCATCCTTAAAGCTGGCTAGTATGAAAACTAGTAATCTTCTCTATAGAGCTAAACAGTTGACAGGTTTAAGGAAGTTGAATATCATACCTGATCCAGACAAAACAAGGGATTTTCCTGAGAACTAAAAAGCCACATATGGAGAATATTGTATTAATTGGTAGGTCTTTGTGCAAGAAAAACAAAAGAAACACACAGAAAAAAGAAGCCCTTGGCAACTGCCAAACATTCTTCTCAAAGTGGGAAGAAGAAAAAAACAACCAAGAACAAAGTTTGGAAATTGGAATGGAAGGAAAGGAAAAGTCTTCTGTTTTTCAGTCAGTGTTGTCTTAATAGAAACTGTGCTTTCTTTGTAAACATAGAAATACTTTGCATTTCATTTTTCCTTCAGAAAAAAACCAAAAGCTCATTAGACACTAAAAACTGGCTCATATTTTTTTAAGATAAAGGTTTATTTAAAAAGCACGAAAGAGTCAAAAGCTCCTACTAAGAAAACAAGGCCCACACAGAGAGCCATGGACAAAGACAGTGCTTTCAGCAGTCCATTCTGGGTAGATAGAAGCAGAAGATGCTTATAAGAGGGGTCAGAAGGCCAATATTTGAGAGCATTGTGAAAGGAGAATTTGGAAGAAAAACAGATGAAAATGCATGGTTACAACATTCTGCATGCTTACATATGACAGAATTGGTAGAATATCATGATTTCTTGAAGAGAAAAGGGGAAAATGTAGGAATCAAAAAAGATAGTTAAGCAAGTAACAGGAGAAGAGTAAAGCTGAAAATTCAGTGGCCCTGACCTGATGGGGAAATGAAAGGAAAAGAGTATAACTGGGGAGGGAAGAAGAAAATTATATTTTAAACTGCCTTTCTTTTAGCAAGTGCTGTTCATATTTTCTACCCAATATAGGCACTGTTCTCAGAAATGCACAATAAATAACACAGAAATACAGCACAAAGTGTATTTGTGAGAATGCACATAAAGCTGACATGTTCAAAAGGCAACACTTCAAAAATAAACACTTAAGAGAGATCTAAACAAAACAAAAAAAAGGAAACAAAAAGGAAAAATAAACTGGAGGTGTTAGTGTCCTCTGATGCAACTGACTGCAAAAATCTGTACTCACCAGGTTCCTCAGAGCCAGTTGGAGTTCCAGGTTCTGAAGGAAGTGTTAGCATCTCATATCCACCTTTAGGACCTAGAATACAGGGACACTGTTAATGGCTTTGGATTTAGGATTTTGTACAATATAATCAAAGCGTATAATTTTCTGGTTTTGACTTGTAACTGTCTAAACTAAACAATCATACAGAATAATCTCAGAAACAGTGGCTAGTGTTGACTTTTCTGTAGTGGCGATGCCAGCATTTTCTAATGAATGTAACACCAGGAAATAAACTTCAGGACATTTTTACAAGTATTCACACTGAAGGCCACTGAAGTCAACAGTGGGTTTTGCTGTACATGGATGTGGGAGCAGAGCTATCTTGAACGCATGAATCAGGGAGCAGTGAGTGGGTGATCTTGGGAGCATCTGGAAGACTCTTGTTAAAATTCCACCTCCAGCATGATGGATAACTTCTTGATTTCTGACAAAGCTCTGTAGAAAATGCTTAAACTAGCCCTTCCAAAGATAACTTGGCTTTCCAAGTGCAAATCATCATCTTTACAAGAAGCCAGGTTGCACAACATCATTGGTACTTCATGAGCACTAAGCTGAAAAAAGATGCCCAGGTTTCTTCACGAGCTTGGACTCCACGCCAGTTCAAACAAGGCAAGCAAAAATGCTATGTCCATAGAATGAACACATTGTAATTAATTTAGTATTACAAACACACATAATTTTATCTGCTGGCAGTGTTCTTTTTCTCCATTATCATGAAAAAGTATAATTAAATGTGGTGGGTGTTTTTTCTCAGCATATCATTGTTAGGGTACAGGATTTCTCATGGCCTGAGGTGAGGGTTTTTTTGTGGGTGCCCTTTTTTAAGGTGCTGTCAGCATTTTACCACTGTGAACAAGATTACTGCTTATACTCTGACACTTATCTCATCTGTCACTGCCTCTTCTAAACTTATCCCATCTGTCAGTGCCTTTCTAACAAAAACTCTGCAAAGCAAAAAAACCCCAAAGAAATACATAAGCCTTACAACAGGGAATCAAATCATACTTTACCTTCAATATTTTCTGATATTTAAAATAATTTAAGTTTAAATTCATTTAAATTTACATGCACACACATACCTCATAATCACTTTTACTTACCAGCTTGGAGACTGTGCCCCCTATGCACTTTCAAAGACCCAGAAGCTGCCATGACAGAAGCACCACCTTATTTAAAGACAGAGATTCACATTAAATCTAAATAGCTATTGCTATTATTAGGTATCTGCTGTGCATCAGCATTTTCAAGTAGATGTTTTTGAAGCAACTAGAAAAATTTCACTAAGAATTCCAAGTCATTGTAACTGAGTGGGGAGTTGCCTTTGCAATCCTTAGCTTTAGCAACAACAAAATTTAAAGTGTTCATTAAAATCTGATCAGAATGGATCCAAAACTTATTGAAGTGAATGAGAAAAACTGTATCATGCTTCACAATCCGTGTTTAGACAAGCATAAACTGGAGCAGGGGAAGGGTACACAAAGGATCTAAGCTTCCATGGGGTTTGAATCCAGGTCATAGCAGTTCTTGTGAAACACCTTCTCAGTGTTACAGCCAGGAAAGCTTTACCACAGACATGCCAGATGGCACAGCCAGTCTCCTGTCCCCAGCCTGATTCATAGAATCAGAGAATCACAGAATATGCTGAGTTGGAAGGGACCCACAAGGATCATCGAGTCCCAGTCTTAGCCTGGTCCTGCACAGGATCATCCCCAAGATGTTCCAGGTGGAGTATTAAGAAAATTTGAGGAAACAAGAGCAACTCAGAAACCTACAGTGTGGTACACATGGGATGTGCTTTGTCTACACGCAGACATTCCTTCTTTATTTACTAATCAGCATTACACCTTCCTGTTGGGTTAGCATTACCCCCATCCAGCCCTGCATCTCTTCTCTCCACTGCTGTCACTGTGAGCACCTTAATCAAGATGAGTGGCATTTACTTCCTCACATGAATAACTGTGAGGGAACTTCTTGTACTAGTAGATGGCACTGAACAGAATTCAGGTAGGAGGCTGTGCCTATGAGCAACCCTGCCACTGCTGACAGGGCGGCTGTGCCACGTGCTGCTGGGTGCTGGGGATCAGGTATAAAAATAATACTCTTCTAAACTGAATCTGAGCAGGTGAGACACTTCTCTGCAAATTGTTTTTAAAATAGCGTCCAAAAATTACCATAGTTCTTATGTAACAGGGAGAAATCATGTAAAATAAATAGTCTGAAATACCTAAGAGAACTGCATGGCCTGGGAATCTAAGGAAAATGTCAGTTTATTTTTTTTCTCCTGTATAAAGTATACATACTTCTTTTTTCTAAACCTAAGAATTTCCAAGCTTGTAAAATGAATCCTACAGTTTAATAAAATAAATCTAGAAAAATACAGATTATTTCACTTAATGAGGACAACGGATTAAAAAATAATAAAAACCTACTTCAGAAGTTAACAGCTGAACTAAAACCTTTAGTTTGTAGTCTTTGTGTACATAAGAGCATATATGGGGTAATCCAAGGCTACAAAAAACAAGTTTAAAGCATGCCATACTGAGAACCTGATTTTGTATTTTGACAAATGAGATCAGATTGTAGAACCTTTACACACTCTGGTGAGGACTTAACCACTAAAAATGCTATTTGAAATTTTGTTTTTAACAAGACTGCTGATAAAAATAAATGTAAAAAAAGGACAGCCCCGGGGTAGCTGATTTACTTATATTTTCTCTGTAACTGATCTTCCTTTTTCTCACCCAGTGCATCCTATCTCTGCATTAAGAATGTCAGAATATGTTTTATGAAGCTGAAAGCCTTACCTTACTTTGAAGAAAGATTACAGCCTTAGGCTAATTCCAGCTTCATCACAAAGCAAGTGTGGGGTGAGGGTTTTTTTCTCCCTCAAAAAATCATTGCAATTCAACAGAAATAATTCCAGTGGAAATGTGGATTTTTAAGCAACATTTTTAGGATTTGTGAAGAGCACGCAGGACAGGAAAGGAGATTTAAAATAATAAGATATGCCAATCCATTTATGGTCAAGTTTAAATTTTCCCATTCAGAGCTTATTTAAAAGAACTATGTTAATGTTTCAGGATTTGACCTGTTGCATTTTCTGCACTTTCAAATCTGGCAACTAACAAATATTTACATAGCCAAATCTCTCAGGGAATTTTTTCAAAGCTTTGAACTGCATTGTATAAACACATGTCAACAGAGATCGACCTAGATATTTTCTTCCTTCTTTACAGCTACCATATAAACTGGTTTGTTTCTTATTTATGAGGACATAACTCTTAGGACAAAACTTGCAGGAATGGAAAAAGCAAGTTAGCAAGACAATTTTCTGAGCAAATAAAGTATCCAGCAGGAAACAGATGCTCCCTTCCATCATTCTTCTCATTTTACAAGGGATTATTAATATTTTTTTCAGTTTCCCCTGCCACCTAGTTCTATGAGGCTGACTTGCTCAAGTCTTTGTCAGAACTGAGTAGTTCATCATGAGAATTATTTCAGTTCTCCTTTCCTCAATGTGTAAGAGGAAGAAAATATTCAAAATGTGACAAAATTAAAATAATCTGCAGGATATTTTGCATTCCTACATATTATTAGAGTCAAAAGTCTGATGTAGCTCAATGAAGACAATCCCTATTTGAAATATTTGAAATATTTTTCTAACTTTACAGTCATTGCTTTATGCCCACTCTTCAAAAATAAGCATAACAGTTTACAGTATATGTGCTACAAGAAAAAGCCACAAAAAAAAAAAACTAGAGGGAAGATGGAATATATACTATAACTGAGCCCAGACAGTTTGTATTTTCAACTCTTGTGACCTATTGTTCTGTGAGCAGTGAGGAGACACAAGCAACGCTATACTGCATTTACCAAGAGATCACTTCTCACTGCCCAGCTTCTACTTTGCCTTCATGGAATAGGTCACAAACTCTTCAGGTCTGGGCTATTAAATTTCTTGAGAAGCAGTCAGGACAGAAGACAACACCACATTCTGTGAAAAATTCCTGCTTCTTGTTGAATTAAAACTACATTTATTATGAAGAACTTTGACCCACTCAGCCAAGCAACATTTCCATCTCCTCCTTTGAAAACAGATACCTTGTTTGAAAGAGCATCCAAAGGCTAGAGCAACTAATTGAGAGGAGAAATACTGCAAGTACACCAGGAGGTTTTTCCATGTAAATGTAATAAAAGACTTCCTAGTGCTGTATATTTGCCCTACAAAACTTCCCTGATTGTCCTCTTCAATTTTCAAAGTAATTTCATATATTTTCTGCTGTACAAATGGTATTATCTGCAATACAGAAAAGCTGAAGGGGATACTTTAAAAAACTTATTTGCTCTACAGATTTCACCATATTCAGAAATGCCTCCTGTCTCTAACAGAGCACGTCAGAAGGGGTGGAATCACTCAAAATTAGAAATGTTTTCAAATATTGCTCCTCCAAGATGCCTGTTTAGTGTGTTCAAGAGAATCACAGAGCATCTAACTACCTCTAGCTATTATTCATCTTCCCACACTATAAGGCCATTCCAGCCCAGCTTTCTATCCTTAAAAATGCAAAAACGTTAAACTAGAATTCTTACAATTTTCCTGTGCCAGGAAACTTGGTGTCTGCTTTTTTGAAAAATATACCCTCAAAGCTGCTTTACATACATCTAAAGCTCAGGATCTACACTGGTCAAGAATGGAGTTCACATAATGTGTTTCTTTAATGGAAAAAAAATCTGAAATAATCACTATATTTGCAAATAAGGTTCCTCAACTTTGTGTTCTAGAAGACTGGGATATGTAATTTCCCCAGATTTCAGAGCCAGAGAAGGCATGGGAAAGCAAATCAGGAACACAGAATAGACAGGACTAGAGGGTCACCGTGGCATGAACTTACCACCTTCTGTTACCCCCAAAGGAGGGAACAGGAACCTACTGGATCTGCTCAACGCAGAGGATGAAGCAGCAGCATTTGGCTCATTCACTAATATATGGTTTTCACCACAGTGACTTTTTCCTTTCCCCTCCTGGGGAAAGGCCCCTAGTAATTCAGACAATCATTAAAGTCGAGGTTTATCTTGTAAATGCAGTATGTATTTTAATCAGCTTGCTTTTTCAGGGCATCTGTATTTCTTCCGCTACATTTTGAGTGCACTTGTAGAATAAAACACGACCAAGAAAGAGCATGTCACATTATGACAGGGTTTTATTAATCGGTTTCTCATTATAATGATGCTCTTCTATTACAGTGTTTAGCCCTATAAGGTATGACATTACACATTTATGGTGGCCACTGCTCAGCACAGTCCTTTACTGGCTCAATAAAAATATTGGAGTGCATTTGGTCTTCCTACATCTGAAGAGCTGACAACGTCTCCTGAAAAAAATTGTGAATTATGAATTATTTTCAACCTAAACAACAATAACCACCATAGTATGGCCCAGTTTCTTCTTTCTCATTGCTCTCAATTAACTCCTTGAAAACTTACTCCTAAGCTTGAAATAGAAGTATCAGGCTGCATAGGTTTGCAATAAAAAATTTTAAAAATGCACAAAAGAAAGCCTATTTTTCCATCATAAAAAGATAAGCTGTCAGACAGCTGACGTCATTTCAGCACCTATCACCTGTTATATACTTAATTTTATTCTTTCTTTTTGTCTTCGTGCCTTGAGTCCCTATCTACCTAAGAACAATTTAATAGACATACAATGTTCATAGTCAGAATTCAGCTGACATTTCAGCTGAATTCCAATCCACAGCATTGTTTTATGTTTATTCCTTAATTCATCCTCTCAGAACATTTCCTATCAAGCATTGTGTAGGTTTGGTATTACAAGCAAAGTGGTTGTCAGAGAGCAAGAGTGTCTGTTGCAATACTGATGAATTTGCTCCTGTGGAAAACAAAAAAAAATTGAAAAGAAGAGAGATAATTTATGAGTCACAAAACAATAGCAGAGTGACTGCTTCCATGGGAGGATATTTGTTAACTTATTTGCCCATTGAACTGTTGACTTTTGCAAAGCCAGAGCCTGTGACACAGAAGTACAGGGAGATCAGACCTCCCACTACAGACGTTTAATTGGAGTGTTGAAATACTCTGAGTTGGGCCTGGCTCCTGGGAATGACCAGGCAACCAGTTTCCCTGTGGGAATTGGGAAGGGACAAAAGTTTCTTATATACAGTGCATAGAGCTGGCACGAAATGGCTTCTCCAGGGATTGCAGAGTGTCCCTAAGCACTTCTGCAAGCCACTCCACTTCTCAGCTTAGCTTCTCTAAATAGGAGTCTTGGGATTCAGACTGCTCAGTTCACATGGAGCGAGTTGGCAATTAAGGACAGAAATAGTGGCATTTCCCTCAGGACAGAATTAGTGGCATTTCCCTTCCACACAAAACAGCCTCATGGTTTAAACATCATTCATAAAACAGAATTGTTTTGACATAGTTCTACTCAACTGAGAAAATACAATCATTTTGAAGGAGAATATTCTAAGTAAGAGCTGGAGGTTCCTTAGCTAAGCTGTTGCAATGGAATAGAACAGAGAACAAGATTTAAATAAGAGGTCTAAACCACAATGAGAAACAGCACAGCTGCTAGGAAATACATTCTCAATGTAAGAATAGCAAAGGACTTTGGATGATTTAAGGTGCATTAAGGAGTCTCATTGCAGAACATGCTAAACACCTGTCAGACATACACACAGAAGTACATCCAAACCTCTGGACAGAGGCTCTAGTTACACAACAGCTTCAGCCCTGTTTTTCCTACAATACTTTGATTTATAGTACCAGAAAGATAATGAAGATACTGACAAGCTCTTCATGCCACCATTTGGGGAAGCAATGTGCTTTCGTTTCACCTCTCAGCACTGAACGTGCATCTCATTCATGATCCCTTAATTCAAAATATACAAGCAGTTCCTGAGCAAAAGACCTATATATATATCTCTGAAATTGCAATCAGAAGATCAAAGTACAGAATTTCTTAAGCAGACATAAGAATTTCTGTAAAGGTCCCATGAGAAATTCTCACACAAAGTGTACCAAACTGAGGTGCCTCCAGAACTCAGCAGTCTCAGAAATCAGGAAATCTGAATCACATTTTTGAACCTCTATCCTGTCATAGTATTTTAAGGTCCATTATAACTATAAATGCAGCCTATTATACTTAAGAGCACACATTCTCACGTCATACAACTCCAAAGAATCCCTTACCTTGATCTAGTACAAAGCTACAATAACAATGGGAATATTTTCCTCCTACAAACACAAGTAATCTAATTCAGTCTCTCTTTCTAATCAATATTTTTATTATTTATAACAAAGCCAACCAAATTATTTAAACCAGAACTAAATGATTCACACCTTGTTTTTTTCCATCTAGTAATACAATTCAGAATTGTTGCAGCATTTACGAACACTTTTCGGCTTGCCTTTAGAATTAAACACATTTCTCTACAGTTGCTGAGGCTGTTGCTCAGCATATATAACTAAAACTAGAAAGAGAATATCATCACCCACATTCACTACCAATAAACTGAAAAATATTTAAAGAACTGATCCTGACTCTTTAACTCCATGTCCTGCTACAGAACTGAAATACTCAAGACCAAAAATATTGCATAGAATATGTGGGCACCTATAGCACAGGGAGGAATGAGTTTGCATTCTACAGTTACTTGAATAAAAATACTACACAGTCCTCTCTGTGATAAAAAAGAAACATGTTTGTGACTAAGTCAACGGCTGCACTAGCAAAACATATAACTGGGCATTGGGTTATTGTACTCTTTCATGGTAGTAGAGGTATCTTGCCATGTATAAGACAGGTTTTGAAAGTAGTTACCTCAAATTAGTGTGCCCTTATGTTATCCTCAACAATGGATAATAGCCTCTCATAATAGAGAAACATAGAAAAGTTCTAATGATGTTTAGTCCAACAGAACTGTGTGAATGACTGCTCAGCACCCTGGCACCTTCAGTTAACAGCTTAGATTTAAGAGTCAAAGACTACAGAACTATTTTGAAAACTCTGCAATGCCAAGTTCAATTATACTTGAAATCTTCACACATATACAAGAAAAAACTCTAAATACCTAAGGACAAGAAAAATGCAATGAGACAGAGAAAGCTTCAATTTCTTTTGTTTTTTCTGAAACATAGTGTAGTGTTGAAGAATAAAGCTGTACTTGTATTAGAGCATTTGAGAGATGGAGCCTCACAAAGATAGCTAAAAACTTCAGTCACTGGCTTTAGATGTTGCATTTGCCTTAAGCATTATACTTATTCCAATAAGTGTTCAATTCTTTTCTCACACAATATTTTCCCAATGTATCAGGAAGGAAAACCCACCTACTTAAATGTCTTCGGTCTTGTACTTCTCTTTCTGTTGATACAAAAAGCTGCCCTGTATTTCTACAATTCCAATTTACTTAATGATAGGTTTTCTCAAAACAGCTAACTCTCTCAGATGCATGAATAGACTAAGTTTTTTTCAGCCATAATTGTTGCAACCATAATTAACTTGACACTGAAATTAATACAGAAATAATATTGTGCCCACCACATACTGGTTTCCCTGTATTTACACACACTTTAATCATAAGTGCTCTGGTTTCCTTGGGTTGATTAGAAGACTTGAAACCTGAGTACCAGAGGGAAAGGTAAAATCCTACCTACACCTCTATAAATCAAGAGTAATTCCACTGACTCGAGTGGAATAACTAGAAACAAGATCTGCTAAATGCTTCTGGATTTTCTCCTGCTAAGATAGACAAAGGAACAGAGTTTCATATAACCTTCTCCAGAGACAGCTCCTGATCCTAGACATCTTACTGGATTTGTTCACACAAGTATCAATCAGCTACACTGCTTTACATATTTAACAAGGTTTTTTAAAGTAATAAAGAAACCCAAGTACAAAGAGCTGTTGTTCTGTCTATCGGAAGCAGGAAACCTATGAAATTTAATGGATCTGATGAATTATCTGGCAAGGAATATATTAAGGAATGTAAAGGCATTTAAGATATTAAACAAATTCTTTTCTCAGATCTCTTCAAAGACTAAGATGGAGATGTTACACAAAACCAAATGCTTATGAAATGTTATCTTTGGTGTAAAATGATGATTCAAAGGTGCCAGACCAGTTTGACTCCATTAGACAGGGAACTCAGATGACCAACACATCTTGCTGATAGGAAGGTCTACAACACAAAGATGGTCAGTGTGTTACCTTTGCCTAAATAATTTTTCCAGACCCAGATACTCAGTGTCCTCTCATTAGTGATTTTTTTGGTCAATTAGTAGTTCCAATGACATGAGAGAAGTATCTCCATGTCGCCTCTGGTAACATTCCTGTTGTTTTGTGTTATTTAGAAAACTGGCTATACACATATAAATAAAATTTCCCTTTGGTGTTAATATAGCCTAAAAAGAACACTTTCTTGGTGTTCTTCAAGTATGTAAGTAGAAAAAGCACTAAACAGCTTCATATAGAAACTGACAACCTTGAACCTCTTTAGATTAAAAAAAGGAAGGAAAAAACAAATATATTAATCCTTGCAACCAAAGTTACTACAGTTATGAAATACAGTTATAATGTATTTCATAATTGCCAGTCATGAATTGCAGCAGCAAAACCAACCACAAACGGGATATCTCTCAATATAATCTTTAGTTCTGCTTCCATAAATCTGTTTTTCTTATCACAATTTGAGATTTAAACATTATCCTTTAACAAACCAAATAACTAAATGACTCCTACCTGATGTAGCTGGTAAGACTCCAGACTGTAATACTGCTGTTCCCTAAAGAAAACAGAAAATTTTAGAATGAAAAATTTTTAAAATATATAGAAACTTGACAAAATATAGGAAGAATGGCAGAGAAATCACCATCATTAAAGCTTAACAAGTGGTTTAAAATCCAGAACAGATGCAAAGGTGCTCAGACATGAAGATGTTCAAAACACGTATAAGTTGAAAAACCTTAAAAAAGGTTTTGGGGTATTCTTGTGTACATGTCTTACTCACACACCTTAGAAAAGGCTAATGAACTTGGCTTTAGAAGCTTTGCAACTGTAGCAGGAACGATGAAGCAAAAAAATTTAATATTGAGACAAAGAGGATATCAAGCTGGAGTAACAGGATTAACAGACGTAAATTAAGGCCAGGCCTATATTTGTTTAAAATGGTAGGTGCTGCGAGCAGACAGAAGCCTCATGTCCTCCTGACTCAGCCCCAAAAAAACAGCACAGAGCTTTCCTCACCTAAATATGCAGACTTGTGACCTGTGATATCTCTGCATTTCCTATGCTTTCCTACAAAGTGGTGGCTTTTCTGACACACATAGGACTTTACATAGACATCACATACATCTTCTCCCCATATAGGCACTGTGTTGACTTCCCACACACAAAATAGATTATTTACTTATTATCCACCTAGAAGTTCAAGTCATACTAATTCCTGCACAACATTTTCTTAAGGAAAACACATTAAGATGTAAAGCTTATTACATGTGACCATCACAAAATACTGTCAGAGCCAGCAAACAGATCCAACTTCAGTTAAAGTTCAGTGGAAAGGCTTTCTTTGATTTTGATGCACCTTGCAATGAAACAGAAAAATATTAGAAAATATTACCCTGATACTGTTTCACCTAATAAAATGAACATTAAAAGAGTTTACTTGAACCAATTGGGGTGGGTTTTGAACCCTGCAACACACAACATACAAGATGTTTCTGCCTGATCCTATTGCAAACATGGAACATACAGCTTCAGTATTTACTTGAGTTTTTACGCCAGCTATATATTTTAATACATAAAACACTGAATTTGAGCACCTATTTGGAGTAAAAGTAGAAGGGAGGGGAGGAAATCAGAAATATGGTCAAGATTCTATTTTTGAAAGAGAAAAAGCATCCCATAGCATTTCAGAAAATATCAGATTATACTTGACAAAGAAAGATGCAAAAAGACAAACAGAAGTTTGATGTGTGAAATGACATCAGATGTGGGACACTGTTAAAGTATCATTGAAATTACAGGAAACATATGAAAGACAACAAATAACTACAAGAATCAGCTGTGATTACGTGAGATAATAACAAAAATAAAACCAGTCTTTTGTTATTAAGTGATTTTTTTCAGTCTATAAGACTGTTGTCCTCATTTCCATTTCAGTACATCGTATTCTATTATTTCTGCAACTCTGAGGCCTCACTAAACAACAGTGGTAACCGACTTCACTAAACAACAGTGGTAACCGACGCAACTTGGCAGAAAAAACAGTAGAGAGGCTTAAAAGCTATCTTTTATAATTCTACAAAACACTACTTTTGCCTGTAAGAGAAACTTTTAAAGTTATTATGGCATCATTTACAAGTGTAAGTGCATGGTTTTTAAATGCAGAGTATAATACATATCTCAACCTACCATAGGATTACATCAAAGAAGAAAAGGGGTAAGTGACCTCACTCAAATAATATGCTTTTGTTATGCCTGCTGTGATACTCAGACAATAACTAACAATGTGATTATCTAAATACTGCATATCTCATAATATTACACATAAATATAAGTTAAATGTCTTTCCAACATATAATCTTTTATGTGTGACCCAAGAGCTGAGTGCTGAAGTATGTGATGCATGGTTGTTAGTTCAAACCACCTCACCACTACAACACCCACAGTAAATGGATATGTACCACTTGCATATCACACATCATGAACTACATGTCCAGGGCTATTTTAACTCTGGTAGTGATCTGGCTCCCGTCAGATGACATTCATTTTTTATGTTCTGCTTCCAAATATCTTGGGCAGGGTTCAATGACAGATGTTAGGAGAACCCACTAGTTTGATTCTGGGTCATTATTCATAGATTAGCTCGATTGCCCTAAAGAGCCAAATAGAACCTAAGCCTTGGTATTTATTTCTGTGTGTACAAATAACCATCATAATACATAATCCTTTTTACAATCAAAATGGGACTCTTTTCCCCCTCTGTATATATTTGTCATATCTTTGCCTTTCTCTCACCTTTTTTCTTTTATAGTTTCATTTTATTTCATTCAGACTTTTAATGACTTTAAATTTCATTAAATATATGATTTATCACACTATTTTCCATTTAAAGGAAAAATAGCAGATAAAAATACTGTTCCATATGTAGAGCAGCACGCCTACCTTTCTCTGTATAACATTTTATGGACTACATACCTAATTCTGCTCTGCTGATAATTATGGAAGTTTTTGGGCACAAGGTCCACCCAAAAAGTCTGGATCATCCAGTATAAGCTCCACAGTAAGGAGTAAAGATACTGTACTGCACGGTTTCTTGGTTTTAGAAGAATTTTTGCCAGATTCATAGTGACAAAAGGCATCACAACTGCTTTGTAAGCTCAACTCCATGGTGTAAAAAGGAGCCTGAAGCTTGTAAGTTAGATGGGTAGAAACAAAAAAAGGAAAATATTGTTTTAAGATTATTGCCTCCCATTACTGACTCTAAGGGTAGGAACTGATGGACAGCTGTTCCATATACAGCAGGTATTTTCATGGAAGCAAAATACTTTTGTTTCCTATTTTGCCTCCTAAAAAGAAGGAAACTATACTTCCAAGTAGACTAGCTTCTGTAGGTTTTAATGCCAAGCAGGCCTCCATCATCACTGGCAAGAGGAATGAAATGCCATTCGCCTGATAACTGTGTCAGCATTTCAGACACACCTCATCAGTCACAGCTTATGTAATTCCCTTTGTGTATCTTTAGAAATAAAGCTTTTCTTTCAGCTCATCTAAGTTTGGCAGCTTTGTACAGCTCCATTATTCTGCACCTACTGACAGTTAGAGTTCTCAGCACAGAAACACATGAACCTGTCGGAGCAGGTCCAGAGGAAGGACACAAAAATAACAGGGTTAGAGAAATTCTCCTATTTGGAAAGCCTGAGAGAGTTGGGGTTGTTCAGCCTTGAGGAGAGAAGGCTCCAGGGAGACTTTACAGCAGCCCTTCCATACTTACAGGGGATTATAAGAAAGATGGGGACAGACTTTTTAGCAGAGCCTGTTGCAACTGGACAGGGGGTAATGGTTTTAAACTAAAAGAGGGTAGATTTAGACTGGATATAAGGAAGAAATTTTTTACTATGAGGGTGGTGAAAAACTGGCACAGGTTGCCCAGAGAGGTGGTGGACACCCCATTCCTGGAAACATTTAAGGTCAGACTGGATGGGGTTCTGTGCAATCTGACCTAGTGGAAAGTGTCCCTACTCACTGCAGAGGGGTAAACTAGATGACCTTTAAAGGTTCTTTCCAGTACAAAATATTCTATGCTTTTTAGGTGTCAGTTGCCTTAGTCTAAGCATAAGTATGAAGTTTTGCCCCAGTTTGAAAAAGAAAGGCTTAACATAAACTAGAGGCTTCCAGATTCTTCTTGTTATGAAAGAGGACTCAGTACTTGATAGTAGGAAAAGCAAATATTTGCATTCTGAGATTTTTATTCTGCACAGACCAAAAATGCACTCATAAACAGAGGCTCAATTGCTACATTGGTCAAATGCTTAATTTTCACAGAGGAGATGATCTAGATTTTTTTTTTCTCTCCCATCCTTTATTTTAAAGCTATTATGCAGTATCAAGGCCGTGCAAAATATTCATCAAAATCATGACTCAAAGTCCCTGAGTCCCTGAAAATCAAAAACTGTGGAGTGGAATTCTCTAACAATGACCACTCTCTTACCTGCTGTATATAGCTGGTAGTACTTCATCACAACTCCCTAGCCGCTTAACATAGTTGGTGTGTAAATGGAAGCAGCAGATTAGTTACATTATATAATTTATGACAAAGTTGAACTGTCAGCAACTTCACAAAGGAGCAAAAGACTCAATGAGAAATCCTGAATGAAGATTTTGAAATCAGCATCACAAGGAAAAGTTTAAAGTGCTTTTAGGAAACGGAAAAGAAACAGCATTGATCATGTCAAAATTTCTGCAAAGCTTAGATATTTCAGCAAAAAGAAACCAGTCCTTAATAAAACTGACACTTGAAGTACTTTCCTCATGAGGATTAAAGACTATGATTTATTCTATTTTTCTAAATCACCAGAAAATTTTAAAGCTTGAATGCTTAGGCTACAACAAGAAAAAAATAATTAAAAAAATTAAAGGAAAGGTCAATAAATACAGACAAGTGGGCCAACCTCTAAAGGTCATCTGTGTTGATGGGTAGTTTCATCATGCCCAGCAGTTGATCAGGTTCTGAACAAAAGATACCAAATTATTAAACTCTATGATCCTTCATAACAACTCCAAATGAAACAGAAACTCCTGCCTATGGCATGCTTCAGGTGCAGGGGTCCAATTTCAGCCACAAATTCTTGATCACTCAGCTTCATCTGTTGCAAGCCAACTGTTGGCCTACAGAAAGATTGCTGAAGTGAGTTCAGAAACACCTCTGTTTGCTCAGCCCAAGCATCAGCTATTTTATGAGGCATGAAGACGGCAACTTCAGCAGTACTGGCAAGCCGCGGCCTGTGCCACATTAAAACACACTCCTTAAAACCTGTGGAATAATCACAGCTCTGCTAAACTACAAGTTACAGGTCTTGTTTAAACAACAGGATGTGAGAAAAAAACAGAAGTATTGTTTAGTTTTGTGTACCCATCTTCTCTCATGTTTTTACAGAGGCCTCTTCAGTCGTGATTTCGATACGCTTCTGTTGAGAGGGGCCTCCTGCTTCTTGCTCTGGGCTTCCCACCTGCCTGCAGCCACCAGCCCTTTGTCACACAACCCAGAATACAGCCATTGGC